TACCTTTTTGCTTTGGTTGGTGGTGATTCTGGTGCACACCCTAAAAACACCATTCAAATTGAAATAAGCCCAATCAAAGTTGATTCGTCATCTTTCTACGCATATGGAACGAAAAGACAGTGGTGTGCTATGTTGGTCTGCATACACACACTTTGCGATTTCTGGGTCAATGTGCATTAACACCAAAGAACACGAAATAAGCGAAATCCAAGATTCTTCTTTCTATGCAGCTGGAAATCAAAACAACCTGTTTGGCAAAAGAAGGTGTGTTATTTTGGTCTGCATACACACACTTTTCGATTTCTGGGTCAATGTGCATTAACACCAAAGAACACGAAATAAGCGAAATCCAAGATTCTTCTTTCTATGCAGCTGGAAATCAAAACAACCTGTTTGGCTTTGTTTAGGCTTATTGCAGTTCGCGTTGCTATTTGTGAGTGAATAAACACCGAAAGAACAATCCAAGCTTATTTGTCCTCTTTCTATTGAGATTGACCCAAAACACCCATGCTTGGTTTGGGCTGATAACAAACATGTCACTCTGCGATTTTTGAGTGAATGTGCATTCTAACCCCCAAAACACCAATTTGAAATTAGCTCAATCAGAGCTTTATGATCTTCTTTTTATGTAGATGGAACCCAAAACACCTTCTTACTTTGATTGGTTGTGATTCGGCTTATTCGTCTTCTTTCTACGCATATGTAGCAAGCAAGTAGTAGGTCCTCTGCATGGAGAAGATGTAGAAATGCTAATGGATGACAGACGGTGAAACTGCTCGATGCCTGTGTTGTCTCTGTCTTCACCCAAAAGGAAACGAATGATAACAACAGATGATGCAAGGAAGGAACTGTAGCCCAAGATAAGGCTACTTTAGCTACTTTAAATGAGTTACAGGGCCTCATGAGCTGCTGCTGCTTCATCTTTGGCAATCACTCATAGCCATGAACATGGTCTTAACAGTGAGTTGGTAATTCTGGATCCACACGTCCTTCCACAGTGGGGACAGGTTTCCGGGCGGGAGTTGGTCACGATGAGGGTTTGCCAAACATGACTTCCTTTTAGCACGTTTCTCCCTTTCTTCCTAAGTTTGAGCATCTTCAGAGTCCATAACACCTTTGGTAAAGGCTGTTCTCTAATTGGAGTGCTCACAGGCCAGTGTTTCCCAGTTGTCAGTGTTTATAATACACTTTAAACCTCTTTTGTTGAAAGTGCATTACACTTTCCATTTTTAAGTTTGGAATAGAATAGTTGCTTTGGAAGACTAATGAGGCATCTGAACAACATGACCATTCCAACAAATTTGATGTTGAAGAATCATTACTGCTTCCAGTACACTGTCTTCCCAAGTGATGTGTAACATTTTTCGGAGACACCATATCCATGTTTCACAAGCATACAATAGCTTTGTAAACAAGCATTTTGATTTCCCTGCAAATGTCCCGATCCTCTGCACTTCAGTTGGGAGAAAGCTGCACTCACAGAGCTCAGGTGATGCTGGATTTTGGTATCAACTGCCCAGGTAGGAAAAGTGATACACACTTTCCAACATTTGTGGTGCTGCAGAGGGGTTGTTTTGTGCTGGTTGTTTTGTGCTTTTTGGTGCAAGCACTTTGGTTTTGCGGATGTTGAGCAATAGGCCAAGCTATTCGTAAACTTCTGCAAAGGTAATGAGGATGGTTTGGAGGTCATCCTCTGAGTATGCACACACTATGTTGTCATCAGCATACTAAAGCTCTATGACGGAAGTTATGGTAACCTTACCCTTTGCTTTCAACTTACTCAAAGAGCTTTCCATCTTTTGATACGTTATTTCTACTCCGTAGGGAGTTTTTATGGCAATGAAAATAATAGAAGTGGCAATTTTCATGGCAATGAAAATAATAGAACACAACCCTTGTTAACACCTGAGGCCACTGTGAATGGTTCGCTTTGAGAGCCATTGTTATCTGTGATTGTTGCTGTCATATTATCACAGAGGAGCCAAAGGATGTTCACAAATTTATATGGGCAGCCAATTTTCAGAAGGACAACCTACAAGGCATTACAATGTACAGTGTCAAAGGCCTTAGTCAGGTCAATAAACAACATGTAGGGGAAGTTCCCCCCCCCCCTTAGTGGCACAGTTTCTATCTTTTTGCTAGATCTGAAAGGCCTTCCTTTCAATCTCACTGTCATTCTTATGAAACCAGTCCTTGATTTGGTACCCAACAGGCTACAATAATAGATGTTTTTAGCATTGTCCAGTGTTCCTCGATGTTATCAAGGAACTCCAAAAGCAGATGGTCCTTAAGAGTCGTTTGGAAGCAATCCCGTTTAATAGGATCTTGAAGAGCTTGAGTGTTCATTTTGCACCTTGGTTTCCTTCCCTGAAGACTTTGTTGAGGTATAATCTTGATAGCCATCATGAAATGTATTAATCTGTGATCTGTCCTGCAGTTGTCAGCACTTGTCATAGATGAGCACATCACGGCAATCTTCAGCTCAGACAATTACATAGTCAAAGAGGTGCCAGTGGTTCGACCGAGGGTGCTTGTTATAGGTAATAATAAGGTTGTGCGCTGCACATATAGTCAAAAGTAAGATTCCGTATTGGTTGCTGTTGCCAATTCCTTCTTTCCCAATTTTCCCAGGTCACAGATCGAAATGCATCACAACTCTTGCATTAAAATCACCCAGGAGTATTTTTTTAATCCTCCTTAGGCGTCTCCTTAGCTGTTTGGGGTGAGGGGTCAGAGTCTAGGGTAGGGATTTAGGGTTAGGATTTAGGATTTAGGGGCTAGGACCCCTAAATTGACCCCATTTAAAAATGACCCCAAACCCAACCCCTAGACCTAACCCCTAACCCCTTAACCCTCGCCCTAGCCCTAGCCCCAGCCCCTAAATCCTAAACCCTAAATCCCTACCCTAGACTCTGAGTCTCACCTCTAACCCCAAACAGTAAGGGTTAGGGTTTACGATTTAGGGTTGGGGTTAGGGTTCGAGGTTGGGTTCGGGTTCGGGTTAGGGCATTGGTAGGCAAACTGAGGCCTGGGGGCTGGATCTGACCCAATTGTCTTCTAAATCCGGCCCACAGATGGTCCAAGAATCAGCAGTTTTTACATGAGTAGAATGTGTTGTGGAATTCGTTCATTTTTTCCCTTCAAAATATAGCTGGCCCCCCACAAGGTCTAAGGGACAGTGGACCGGCCCGATGCTGAAAAAGTTTGCTGACCCCTGGTTTAGGGTTAGGGTCTAGGGTTAGGGTCAGGGGTCTAGGGTTTGGATCAGGGTTTACAATTTAGGGTTTGGGGTTAGGGTTCGGTTTAGGGTTGGGGTTAGGTTAGGTTAGGTTAGGTTAGGGCAGGGGTTGGCAAGCTTCACCTGCCATGGGCCGGATCACTTCCACAGAGATCATCTGTGGGCTGGACTGGCGCAGCGCGATGTCGGAAATGGTGTCTGCGCATGTCCATAGCGCTGGAAATCGCTTCTGTGCATGCCCAAACGCCGAAAATAGTGTCTGGACAATCACAGACGTGATTTCTGGTATCTGCGTGTACGCAGACACCATTTCCAGTGCCACTTGGTAAGTCCCTGCGCTGTGGTGTGCTGCTTTAGCGCAGTGCACAGGGGACTTGCCGAGCAGGCGGCTTGGTTTGCGGGCAGCTCGTGGGTCGGTAAAACCGCATCTGGCCCATGGGCCGCACGTTGCCAGCCCCTAGGGTTTAAGGGTTTAATGTTTGCGGTTAGGGTTAGGATTTAGAGTTTAGAGTTAGGGGTCAGAGTCTAGGATAGGGGTGTAGGGTTAGGATTTAGGATTTAATGTTTGGGTTTCGGTTAGGGCTAGGGTTAAGGGGTAGGGGTTGCGGGTTAGGGTTAGGTTAGGGTTAGGCTCAGGGTCTAGGGTACAGGTTTAGGGTTAGGAGTTAGGGCTCGGTTTAGGGCTAGGGTTAGAGTTGGGGTTGGGTTAGGGTTTAGGGTTGGGGTTTACAAGTGGTTAGAGCGTGTGGCTGGGAAGCATTACCTAGTGGTTACAGCGAGGGAGTGGGAAGCTTTGCCTAATTGTTAGAGTGACTTAATGGGAAGCATTGTCCAGTGGTTAGAGCAAGTAGCTGTGCTTAAGAGTGAGTGGCTGGGAAGCAAGCAGCACTTCCTCTGCTCCCAGTGTCCTTCGTGGCATAATTGGATACCTAAATATCCCTTAAAGTGCCATTTAAGAGTGCAACATCTAGCAATTAAATTCAATCACCTTTGAGCACAAGGTTGTGACGTTGTTCTGTGTAAGGGACACCTGCATATTTCTGCCTTTCAGCGGGTTGGACTGGATGACCCTTCGGGTCCCTTTCAGCTATATTATACGATTCTTTGGAAAGTGCTTCAGAAAGAATAAACGGTGGGGGGCATTCTTTTAAGTTAGCTCACATGGCGAGGTGGTCCCTCTGAAACTTTATTATTTCTTGCATGGCAATTTGAGCTTGACATATGCTATGCCTGTTTTTACACGGGGCTCCTCTTTCTGTTCTTGTGGATGGGGGGGAAATCGGTCCCACTGATATTTCTTAGGTTTGTATGGGCACTGCTGAATTCCTGCTCCGAAAAGGTGAAGGAGAAGGAGGGAGGGAGAAGAGGAGGTGGAGAAAAAGTCAGCAGCCGGAGCTCAGGAGGCGCCCTCTGCAGCCATTTTAGGAGAGGCACGGAGGATGGAAGAAGAATGGCAAAAAAGGGCGGAAACACAATAGCCAGGATGGGGGGACTGCATGTGGAGAGGCTGCGGGTGCCATTTTTGAAGAGGGAAATGGCTGCCCGGAAGTGGAAAAGGGCGGATAATGTTACCGTAGCCATTTTGGATGAGGGAATTAATATCCGGAAGCGCCTCCATTTATGGCGGTTGTTGCCAGCGGCGCCATTTTGTGTCAGGGAAATAGATGCCGGAAGCGCCTCCATTTTGAAAGATGGGGGGAGGGACGTCGGCGGCAATAGGCGGAACTTCTCACGGATCTGGGCAAATCGCTGGGCGGATTAGCTAACCCTTTCCTCTCCGAGGTAGGATCCTCTCCGTGTTTGCCACCAGCCGGAGCTCGCGGTCCACGGGTAGCCGCTGGCCCCGGAGGGCGAGTCCTCTTTGCCCCTTTGCCTGCTTCGTTGAGGGGGAAATGTGTGGCCTGCATGCGCGGCCGGGGAACCCTTGGTCAAAATTCATTTTAAAGGCTGGGGGGGGGGGCCCAGAACCGAATTAACGGCGACGCAGGGTGTTGTCTTTTATTGTTATTTACTATAGTGGATTTATCTGGCGGTTCACAGGATAAAAAGACGGGGTAGAAATATCTGTAAATAGTTTTTAAAAACACCAATAACCTTCCCTCCCAGAAGCGTTTAAAGGCTGTAAAGCCCTTTAAAAATGCCTAAAAAGAACATTTGGGGCTTAGTCTCGTCTCCCCTAACCCTTAACCGTATTGGTTTTTTATTTTATTCTATTTTGGGGAGAAACACCCCCCCCCCCGGCCCTGTCTCCTTTCCCCATTTCTCAGCAACTCCCAAGTAATTGGCTTGAGATCTCTATTGCATTTAACCCTTAGACAGCTTTTGTGAGCCTAATCAAGCAATGTGCTGAAAATTTAATTTGCTCAGACGAACCATTGCTTCCATCAGTGGTTTTGGAACCAGGTAATTCCTCCAGATTTATCCACACTAGCCAAGTAAAGTCAAAACACATACCTTGAATTGAATGCCACAAGAATAAATGGGGATCAGCCCCTGCTATAGTGGGCAGCCCCAAAAGCCATTTGTGTTGTTAAGATTTTCAAAAGCAGAAATAATATTTACAAAACAGCAACTTCAGACCAGTTTTGGACACTTGCAGCACTTTGCAATGTTAAGAGGTGCTCTAAAGAAAAGCACTTTCTACATTCATGAGCCTCATTCCCCCCCCCCTTTTGCTGGAGGTATAAATGTTGTTAGCAATGTGCAATCACCCTGAAGGCTTCAGGTCTGCTCCTGACTGTTGAAATGCTCCTGGGGAGGCTGTAAGTCAGTCAGTAAACTCTGCTTCCAGTCAGTAAACTGATTGCAAGGTGTCCTTCATGGCATAACTTGCAGCTGCAGGAGAAGGTGTGGATCCTATACCTAAATATCCCTGAAAGTGTCATTTAAAAGTGCAACATCTAGCAATTAAATTCAATCACCTTTGAGCAGAAGGTTGTGACACCTGCATATTCCTGGGTTGCAGCGAGCTGGACTTGATGACCATCACAGGATTCTTTGGAAAATGCTTCAGAAATAATAGAAATAGCATTCATTTAAGTTAGTCGTAAGATGGCACAGTAGTCTCACTTCCCTGTAAACTGTATTTTTCGCCCCATAGGGCGCACCGGCCCATAGGCCGCACCTAGGTTTTTTTTGGGGGGGGGGAAATAAAGGGGGGGGAATTATTTTTCCCCCCAGGCTGCGCTCCCCGGGTTTCGGGCTGCAGGCTGCTGTCCGCAAGCCTTGGGAGCCTGGCAGGAAGTCGCGCCGGTCTCCCCAGGCTTGCGGATATCTGCCCGAAGCCTGGAGAGCAAGAGGGGTCGGTGCGCACCGACCCCTCTCGCTCTCCAGGCTTCAGTGAAAGCCTGCATTTGCCCCATAGGACGCACACACATTTCCCCTTCATTTTTGGAGGGGTAAAGGTGCGTCCTATAGGGCAAAAAATACGGTACTTTATTACTCCTTGCACTGCAATTTGAGCTTGATATATCCTATGCCTGTTTTTACATGGACCCCCTCTTTCAGTTTTTCTGAAAGAAACCTGTCCCACTGATATTTCTCAGGTCTGTATGGGCTCTGCTGAATTCCTGCTCCAAAAAAGTGGAAACACTATGACAAGCTTAAAAAAATGTTTTAGTATAACTGAAAAATACAGAAGCTTTTCTACTAGGGATAACGGACACAGGTATAGCAAGAGAAGATCAGAAAATATTCCTCTATGCCACAGGAGTGGCAAGGATCCTAATTGCTAAAAACTGGAAAAAGAAGCTGTGCCAACAAAAACGGAATGGCAAGACAAACTGTTAGAGTATATTGAACTGGCTAGATTAACAGAGGCAATTAGAGATCACACTAGACAAAGAGTTTCAAAAGCATGGGGAAAAGCAGAGAATACTTCACAAAACAGTGCCCTAAAATACATATGAGCTTCCTTGCAGTGGGTTGGACTAGATGCCCCTTGATGCCCCTTTCATGTATCCCATGCTCCCTGTCTCTCTTCCTCTCCTTTTAATGACACTTCCCCGGTTTTTCCTAGCTGGGCCGCCTCCGGGAACCTAAGTGCTGGCACCTGCAATTTCGCCTGCTGGCATTGTTCTGACAAGATCCATTGTGGTAAGTTTTGGCGTCACCAAAGACTGCTGGGATTAATCTGACAAGATCCATTGACACCAGTTTTGGCGTCACCAAAGGAATTAAGGAGATGTGCTTCAATTCCCCTCGCAGATAGTATTTAACCCATCACGGCATCTCTCAAAGCATAGGAACTGTAGTTTCCTATGGGGGGAGAGAATATTCTGCGCAACCTTTCCCAAGGGAACTCTGGGAGTTATAGCTCTGACAGGGTCTCTTTGGGAAACGGAACAAACTACAGTTACCACAATGTCCCCCCAAAGCACCCTGGGAACTATTGCTTGCTCTGGGTGTTGAGGGTTGTGGCATCTGAACAGTAAACAATCTGTCCTTGCATTCCACAGTATACAACTCCTTGCCGTCCCAAGCCCATTTCTCTTCCTAGGGAACTCTGGGAACTGTAGCTCATGGGAGGAACAGCACTTGGTGCCCTGAACTCTGGGAACCAATGGGCTGGCACCGCCGAGTGTCGCCTTGGCCTGCGACTTTGAAGGCACCGCCTGCAGCTGGGAGGACGTCAGCATGGGCACTGACCAGGGTAAACTTGCTTCATTTGAAAGGCAGAGAAGCATTGCTAAGCAGTTAGAGCACCCCTTTGACCTGGTGCCCCCCAACCAGGCTGGTACATGAGCACCTCGGAGCAGCGAACCAAGCCACCTGACTCCGCTCCCTGACCATGAGTGACGCGGCCACAGCCTGTGAACTCCGCACCTGGTACAGTATGGCCGAGAAAGGTAAGCTTGGGGCACTGGTGGTCAGAAATCCAACAGGTGCAGAGCCATGTGCTTGGCCTTTTTCCCTGTGTGGAGGAAATGCCACGAGGCACAGTTGTCGTAATTCCATATTGATATCACATATTACATTTCTAAGCTGCAGGACATACCGTGGTGATATCATATAATTATTATTTATTGATTTCCAGACTACTGACCCGCCTGGTAGGGCCGGCATAATGAAATATCATTCTTATCATGAAATTTACTGATGCCCTGCTTCCCGTCCCCCTTTGGGATTCCTGGCAGCTGACCGATAAAAATGTTTATATATCTATGGTTCCCATCTGCAAGGGTCAGGCTAGATGACCCCTGGTTCCTCACCCTGCAGGACTCAACGGGAGCTTCCCAGTGGAGCTGAGCCTCGGAAGCCAGATTGTCCCCTGTGGCGAAGCCCTGCGTCACCCTCAGGTGCCCGGCGCCCCCTGCTGGCCTACACCGGAAGAATCCGCAGTGCTTTCCAGGTGGGTCTTGGGCTCCTCACCCTCCCCGGCCGCTCCTTATCTGGAGCATGTCAAGAGCGCAGGTGACCTTCTCGGTGATGAATGTGGCACTGGACAACGTGTAGTTCAGGAACTGTCGCCCCCAAAGTAAAGCTTTATTTTCCGCCTCCCCAAAACCTGGCCAACCAGATAGGTTGCTTGGAGGCAACCCATTAATCCTCCCAACATTTCCAGGTCCCTGGAGCTGCGCCCCAAGTGAGCCGTGCCTGCCAAGCGGCTGCGTGGCCCCTGCCCGCACTGAGGACTGTGGCAACGGTGGAGATGAACGGGGTTGCGGTGAGCGGTCAAGGGGGCATTCAAGGCCAGGGGAACATTGGCACCACCAGACGGGAGGGGGTTACCAGTGTCGCAGGAACCCCCCCCAATCATTCAGTTTGTACAAACTTCACACACACACACACACACACACACACACACACACACACACACACTACATACGCTACACTTCTGTTATAAATTTATAGAAAATCAACCATACATCGGATTTGCACTGTTCCACTTTTATTTTACTCCATGAAGGAAGGACTACAAAATGGGGAAGGTTTGATACAGGGCAGCCATAATCCCTTCAGCATACCAGCACATACACAGGAGCCCTGCCCAGTTGCTATGCCAACCCTGATGGTCCTAGACAGAAGACCATCAAGACCACAAAGAACTTGCATATGGGAGTGGATTCGGCACCGACTGGAACAAAGAACAATAATCAGCTCTTCCCTCTGGGGGCAGGAAACTGCAAACTCCCCTCTGTCACCTGGAAAGTACACATGGGAGGACGGGGGAACCAGCCAAGAGACAGGACACAACTCCTCCCTCAACCCCTCCTTTCTGTGATGTATGTTTCTGGGGGTGTCCTTGATCTACAAGGTGGCAATTTCAAAAGTCTTTATAAGGTCTTGCACACCATTTTTCTGGGTCCTTCCTCTCTCCTGCAAGTGAGGGGAGCACCCTGTTGCAACAGATCAATAAAGGCCAAGCCTACAGGCTGCTGTTTTGCTCCAAGTTATCCTGGTTGGTGTCTTTGTTTTTGTCCAAGGGAGCCCTCGAAATTTTCCGTTAACACCAGGAAACCTCCCAACCAGGCCAAAGCATTTGAGAAGGGTGCAGAGTATGCTGGCTGAAATGGGGCTTACCCTGGGGAAAATCCTGAGCGGAAGTTGCAAGTTGGTGGCCACCACTGCCTCTTGTGGCAGGAAGTTCCATAATGTGCGCTTTGTAAAGAAGTACTTCCTTTCTTTGATGTGTCCTGAATCTTCCAGCGTCCAGCTCTGTGAGTTCTACCGTTATGAGAGGGAGAAAACTTTCCTCTATCCACTTTCTCCAGGCCAGGTCTCATTGGCCTGGAGAAATCACATCTTTGCACAATTTAATGCACAAACAGTCAAAGAACAAATAGGAAATAGGAACAAATAGGAAAACTCCCCTGCGTTTGCTAAATAACCACATCCCTCATTTGTGTTGCTGGGATAAATGTATTTAACACTCTGATAAACTCAGCTGCCAAAACACAGGAGAATATCAACAATCCAGCACAGAAAATTTTACCCATGGTGTTTTGTTTTTCCAGAATCAGCTAAAACAGAAGGGAGAGGTCACCCGTTAACCTGTAAGGGAGCAAATATTCCTTTGAGAAGTTTCTCCCGAAATGGAAGGCACATGAGACTCTGTAATTCTCTTCTTTGGGAGGTGGGTGTCGTGCAAAGTGGCCTTGGGGAGCTGGATGCGAAGGAGGCACGTCCCAGGCCTTTGAACTGCAACAAGAACAACCTGGGAGCATCTCTCACCTCCTCACTCTGGGAGCCTGCACCTCCTCACTCTCTCAATCGCTCCGCTCCCAGGCGAGAACAAAGACCAACCTCTCTTGTGGGGTTAATGTTACACATGGCATTCCCATTATGTAGGGACTGGTGATTTGCTTCATCATTAGGGTCCAGACTGAGGTTCCCAGGGTGGCACGTGGACTCCATGGCACCCTCTTAGCACTCACCAAGGCCCCCTCTTAAAAAGTTTCCCCAAAATCTGTTACGTTTTTACAGTGCTACAAGACCATTTGTTTTGGCAGTTGAGGGATTATTTATTTATTTATTTATATTGCCCTTTATTTTACATCACTGTAAATTATTAAATAATAAAAAATAGTGTTTGTTATTTAGATCAATCAATATAGCTCATTGGGCAGAGCACAAGACTCTTAATCTCAGGGCCATCCTTTGAGCCCCATGTTCCCAGGGTTCCCTGGCAAGAAGGGAACTCTACCCCTAACAAAATCCTAACCCTAACCCAGGGCCATGGGCCAGATCACTCCCACAGAAATCACATCTGTGCGTGTCTGCGGCTCTGGAAATTGCTTCTGCGCATGCCCAGACGCTGAAAATCACTGGGACAGCTCAGTCTGCAGAGCAGGAGACTTTCCATCTCAAAGTCCTGGGTTTGAGGGGCAAAAAGATTCTTCCCTTGCAGAGGGTTGGACTACAAAAGGACCTTTGCTTTCCTGCTCTCTCCCAAACTGGGAAACTCCCAATGGAAAGTGCTCTGACCTTTCTCTTTTTCTTCATAGGGGTTTTCACACCGTACAGTATCTGCTCTCTGACCGGGCTTGGTTTAAAAGCCTCCAAGTATTCCTTGGATCGAGCAGTGCTAATATTTGCTCTGCTAATCTTTCCACCAAAGCTGGCCGGCTTCTGGATTAAACACTGGATTACGTTCTGTATTTAAAACAAATGTCAAATCAATTAAAAAATTTCAAGAGAAATGCTAAAAATATAATTGAGACGAGACAATTTAAGGAAAATTCACCAGAAAGTATTCCTCTTTGTTGTGAGGCATCTAATCAAGATCTGCATTTTAAAATGAGCTTAAAAAATATATTTGCCAGGCAGAGACCAGCTGAATACTCTGGCAGCTGTTTATCTTCCTGTTCAAAGGCCCCACTGTATTTCAGGGTTGTAAAAAGTATTTCAGGGTTGTAAAAGGAAATTAGAGGCTGGGAGCAAAAGGTCACACTGACCATACAAATTACAGAATACAATCAAGCTGCAAAAACACAATTAAGAGCTGGTAAATAGTGAAATTTATTGTTTAACAGAAGACTCGAGCCATATTTTCATAAGGTTAAAGGTTAAATTGAAGAAGTTGCTTTTAGAAACAGCAGCTGGATAGGGAAAAGGCTTCTCTCCAAGCTGTATTGAAGCTTCAGAGAATTTAGAGAACTTAGCTTTCACTAAGTTCCTTTTAATTTGAAAAGGCCTTTCCTTCTAAAAATCTATCTATGTTATGTATGAAATATATTGGCTTAAATGTAATTATGCAAAGGATTTAGAAAGTAAGAAATGTTAGATTCTTATGTTAGATTCTTATTATGGTGTGTGAGAAGGTGAACTCAAGATCTCTTTAAGATAAAAAATTAAAAACCATGCACCATCTGCTTTAGCCATCTGGTTTGCAGTGAATAGGGCAACAGGGGCCAAAGGTTATCTGGTAATTGAGGTGCCTGGTCGAGGTAAATGTAAGATATATGGCTACTTGTCTGCCATTTATGGATAGAAGGAAATATAGCTCTTTGTCTCCCATAAAAGGTAATAGGAAATGGGTGTATCTTTTATGATTGGTTCTAGCAAACAACCAATAGGAATTTCAACCAGGCTGATTGGATAGAGGCAGCCAAAGGAGGAGCAAGGGGGCTGGGCTGAGGAAATATAAGTGCTGGCCATCAGGGCTGGAGTAGGCAGAGCTTTGGTATCCATATACCACTGTGTCTCTCATTTATTTGTCTGACAAATAAATTATTATTTTAATTTCTCTATTGCTGCGTTGAATATTTCATTCCAGCTAAGCGTTAACCACAAGCAGGGTGCTACAGTTGCGGTTAGTGGCTGTGGACATGGCATAACATTACAGCACATGACTCCACCCCCGAAGAATCATGGGAACTGTAGTTTGCCCCTAAACTATGTCTCAGCACATGTCTCAGCACAACACATGACTGGCTTTTCATAGAGACCACTTGCAAAAACTTGTGGTGCTAGAAGATCTTGCGCCTTATATTTACCCTGGGATCCCAACCACCCTTGCCCAGGACACCAGACTCAGCTCTACGGCTGCAAATATAATGTTTGAAGGTGCATTATACAAATGTGACACTAGATGGCAATTGTGAGGTTATGGCAAATTCAATATATTCTTCAAAACACCTTTTTTGAAAAAGTGTTTTCATTTTTAGATTCCACCACAGGAACACAGGTTCAACGGAGTTGCTGTCCATCTGAAGATCATAAGGCCTTTTGTGCCTATATCAATCCCTCGGGTGGTAAAATCAAAGAAGTACAAAATACTTTACAACTATATATATAAATATATATAAATTCCAACACACAGAGGAGCCTTTGCTGGAAGGCTGCGGGGCTATGCCTGGGAATCAAACTCACTGAACTTCAAAGAACTTCTGAGAGAATGTGTATAGGATTGCACTATAAAGGCCTAAAATTTTGACCAAGATTCATGGGTTTGAGTCCCATGTTGCGCGAAAGATTCCTGCATGACCCTTGGGGTCCCTTCCAACTCTACAATTAGCGAAGTATACATCAATATAAAATAAAAATGTGCTTTTAATGAAAGGGCTTCTGCTGTGCTGTTTTTATTGCCATTATTAGTTTGCTTTTACAAGATATTTATATGTATACACACACAGTTTTAATTCTATCAGTGTTTAATTGCTTTTAATTGTAGATCCCCGCCCAGGTTTTAGCTTGTCTTCTTTTCATCCGTAAACTGCCTTGGGTTCCCATCAGGGAAAAAGGCAGGGTACAAATAAATGTATAATAATTATAATAATAATTTCAAACTGGGCATTTTTTGTTTCCAATATACAATGCTGGCAAGAGAGAAAGGCCACCCATAACTTAGAGTGCAGAGGTGAAACAAGCATATGATCCCCCAATGAGGGGTGTCATAGAAATTTAATAAAATTAGTTTAATCAATGTAATAATAACATTGTCTTGACCTGCTTGGCTGAAAAATCTCGCATGGTGTCCAGGCTGCCTCAAGTCTTAGCTCACAAAAGACCAACGCCTATGTCTTCTTATATACAAAGGTGTTTATTGCAGTTCATGGTTTGCTTGACATCCTAGGCGCGCAGCCTTACGTCTCTTACGCTAGACCGCTGAAGTCCCCTCTGAGTCAGTCCCTCCCCTGCACCAATTTAAGAGACTTGCGCTGCTCCACCTCTTTCTCTCCTTCCTTTTCCGCAGGGTCCTTCTGCCCACTGGGGTTTCGCCCCTCCTGGATTCCTCTGACGCGGAATCAGACTGCTCTTCCCCCTCCTGCGGGCTTTGGGACCTGGCCCCTCCTCCGGGCTCCCTGCACTTCCGCGCGCCTCTACATTTGAACTAGGCGCGCGCGCCAAGCCTCTAACTTTCCTTTTGACAGTTACACTACTCCCTTCACTGCTCCCTCCCTTCCGGGAGGGCGGCTTGCTCTGACCCCCTCCTTTCTCTGCTGCTGGAGCTGCTTCCTCTGACACACTGGAAACTCCACCCCCTTCGCTGCACTCTGGTGGGGAGGCTGGTCCTGACGCCCAGCTGCCACTTTGGGATCCTCCGCTGGCACCCTGCTCCTGACACTTCCCCCCTGGGGCTCCCCTGGCCTTGACCACCGGTGCCCCCTTCTGGGAATCCTCTGATTCGCTGGAAAGACTCATGGAATCTCTTGAGTCATTGTCATCCTCTTCCTCGCTGGCTTGGAATTCCTCCCCATCGCTCTCCATCTCCTGCCTACCCTGTGCCTCTCTCCCTGAACCCCTGACACATGGCTTCTGGAAAACCCAGTGGAGGCTGTAGTTGAACTGGGGGGGGGGGCACATGCAAACACCTGGCCCATTGTCCCAGGCCTCCTTGCCACTGACATCCTTTCACCCATAATGCTGTGACCTCCAGGTGCTTGGGTCCCCTAGAAACACTGGTGAGGTGAGCTTTCATTTTCTTTTCCCACTGAGGATTGGAAAGAGTTGAAAGATTAGAAATATTTGAAAAAGATGGAGAAGAAGATCTGATAAGGCCATTAAAACTAGCTGCCTCTGGTTGCTAACCGTTATTTTGGCAGATTATTATCAAACGGCCCTGGCTTCTTTTTTTGAAGTTTACAAAATAACAACAACAACAACAACAACAATTGTATACCCATAAATCTTACCCATAAATCTCAGGGCAGTTCACAGCATCAGATAAACAAAATAAAAAAACCACAAAATACATAATAAAAACAAAGACAACCCAATAATTTATAGCCAGCCAAAGCTTGACTTTCTGATATCTGAAGATCAGTCTCCTATTAGAGGGACAGGAGCAGGCTTGGCAAAACTAGAAAGAAGTCTAAAGGAAATTCTCTGTGCCTCATCCTTGAATGATTTCGCTCTCTTGCCCATCATAAGGCAACCCTAGTGGGCAGCTCTTCCTCGGCTGACCCTTTGTCGGAAGGAGGGGGGTCCCTTGCTTCAGGGTCCTTGCTTGAGGCCGGGGGGCCTCTGTGGCCTTCCCTCCACTTCGACTGGAGACCCAGCTGCCCCCCCCCCCGACAGGGAAAGCCGTGACAGCTGGACAGCCTCAAGGTCTGCATCTTGCCTCCGAAGTCGCTGCGGCTGCCTCCGAAGACGCTTTGGACATTTAAGCCAGTGCAGAAGTTGGCAGCCAGGTTGCTAACCGGGGCAAGACAGATTCAGCATCTGACACAGATCCTACCTTGACAGCACCAGCTGCACCCAATTCCAAGGGCTACTTCTAATGGAGAAAGCCTTCAACAGCTCAGGAGAAGGAAGGAAGGGGTGAGAGAGAGAATGAGAGAGGGAAGGAATGAGCGCAGGAAGGAAGGAAGGGGTGAGAGAAAGAGAAAAAGGAAAGAAAGAGAGAGGGAGAGAAAGGGAGAATTGGAGGGAGAAAGAGAGGAGAGAGCGAGAGGAAGGGGAGAGAAAGGGGAAAGAGAGGAAAAATAGATGGAAGGAAGGAGAGAGAGAGAGAAGGAAGGAAGAGGAAAGGGAGAAAGGGAAAGAGAGAGAGAAAGAGTGGGTGGAAGGAAGGGGAGAGAGAGATGGAAGGAAGGGAGAGAGATGGAAAGAAGGAAGGAAGAGGAGAGAGAGAGAAAAATTCTCCAAAATTCTTCTTTCTATGTAGATGGAACCCAGAACAACCTGTTTTGCTTTGTTTAGGCTTATTACACTTCGCTTTGCTGTTTGTGGGTGAATGAACACCAAAAGAACATGACTTGAAATAAGCGAAATCCAAGATTCTTCTTTCTATGTAGTTGGAACCCAAAACAACTTGTTTGGCTTTGTTTAGGCTTATTACACTTTGCTTTACTAGGGTTAGGTTTTGGGTTAGGGTGAATAAACACAGAAAGAACAATTCAAACTTATACGACCTCTTTTTATTGAGATGGAAGCAAAATACCTATGCTTGATTTGGGCTGATAACCAACATTTCACTCTGCGATTTTTGGGTGAATGTGCATTCTAACCCCAAAAACACCAATTTGAAATTACCCCAACCAGAGCTATATCATCTTCTTTTTATGTAGATGGAACCCAAAACACCTTCTTGCTTTGGTTGGGAGTGATTCTGGTGCACACCCAAAAACACCATGCGAATTGAAATAAGCCCAATCAAAGCTCATTCGTCTTCTTTCTACGCATATGGAAGCGAA